ATACCAGAAGAATGTCTATCTGTGTTTCATTGATTATGCAAAGGCGTTTGACTGTGTGGATCATAACAAACTGTGGCTGACTCTGAGAAGGATGGGAATCCCAGAACATTTAATCGTGCTAATGCGAAACCTATACTTGGACCAGGAGGTAGTCGTCAGAACAGAGCAGGGCAACACTGCATGGTTCAAATTTGGGAAGGGTGTTCACCAGGGATGTGTCCTGTCTCTATACCTTTTCAACCTGTATGTAGAGCAGATTATACGAGAGGCTGGGCTCTATGAGCGTCAGGATTGGTGGAAGATCTATTAACAATCTGCGTTATGCAGATGACACAACCCTGCTTGCTGAAACCGAGGAGGACCTCATGCACTTGCTGCAGAGGGTCAAGGACTGCAGCCTTCAGTATGGACTGAGGCTCAATGTCAAAAAGACAAAGATTCTCACCAGTGGACCAACTGGTAGCATCAGGATGGATGGGAAAGAGATTGAGATTGTTCACAGCTTCAGTTTGTTCGGCTCCAAGGTCAACACTCTTGGCATCAGCAGTAAGGAAATCAGAAAGTCTGCTGTTAGGGACCTCTCTAAACTACTCAAGAGCAACGGTGTCTCTCTGGAGACTAAGGTGCGCCTGATACAGATCATGGTCTTTGCAATCACTTGTTATGCATCAGAGAGTTGGACAATGACTTGGGTGGACAGAAGGAGAATTGATGCCTTTGAGCTGTGGTGCTGAAGAAGAGTATTGAATGTACCATGGACTGCCAAGAAAACAAACAGATTCATCCCGGAGAAGATTAAACCAAGCAACTTCTTGGAGGCAAGGATTCTGGGGCTTCATCTGACATACTCCGGACATGTTGCAAGGAGGGACAGGTCCTTGGAGAGGGACACCATGCTTGGGAGGTTGGAGGGACAGCGCAAGAGGGGAAGACCCTCTATGAGATGGATTGATTCAGTGACTGGGGTAATCGGGATGGGTGTGCCAGAGGCAGTACGACTGGCACAGGATAGAGCAGGCTTTAGGGCTGTTGTACATAGGGTCGCTAGAGTCGCAAACAACTCAACGACACATAACAACAACAACATAGTATTCAGATAATCTTGATTATGGGAATTTTACCAATAAACTATTAAAATTACTTATTACACATATAAAATGATCTTATTTAAAACAATTTATATTGAGTTAGTGTACTAAAAAGAATTGGTCAATACAGAAGAATTTCATGAAACAATATATGACCAAGATGCAAAGGTGATGGAGAAGTTCAAGCTGCTCTGAAGAAACTGGCAAAAAACAAGGCCCCAGGAATTGACAGTATAAAAACTGACATATTTCAACAAACAGATGCAACCCTAGATGTGCTCACTAGGTTGTGCCAAGAATTGACAATACCAATTGACTTATTTCAGCAAACAGATGCTGCCTTGGACATGCTCACCAGATTGTGCATTAAATCTGAAGGATAAGTACCTGGACAACTAACTAGAAGAGATACATATTTATTGCTATCCCCAAAAGATGTGATTCAACAGAGTGTGGAAATATTGAATAGTATCAAATGCAAGCAAAATATTGCTGAATATTATCCAAAAATGACTGGACCAATACCCTTGACAGAGAACTACCAGAAATACAAACTGGATATAAAAAAGGCTGTGGCACAGCAGGAAATACCAGAGGAATGTCTGTGTTTCATTGACTATGCAAAGGCATTTTTACTGAGTGGATCACAACAAATTGTGGCTAATCTTGAGAATGGGAATCCCGGAACACTTGATTGTGCTCATAAGAAACTTATACTTAGGCTAGAAAGCAGTCCTCAGAACAGAGCAAGGAAACACTGCATGGTTCAGAATTGGGAAGGAATGCATCAGGGATGCATCCTGTCTACATACTTTTTCAATCTATATGTGAAACATTTCATTTGGAAGGCTGGACTTTATGAGGAAGAATGTGGCATCAGAATTGAGAGGAAGATTCATCAACAACCTGTGTTTTACAGATGTCACAACCATGCTTTCAAAGACTAAGGAGGACCTGAAGCATTTGCTGCAGGTCAAGAGCTGTAATCTTCAATATGGATTGAAGTTCAGCATTAAGAAGACAAAGATTCTTACCATAGAGACAAATGGCAACATCATTAGAGATGGAGAAGAGAAAGAGATTTTCAACAAATTCAACTTGCTTAGTTCCACAATCAACACTCTTGGCATTGCTGCTGTTGTGTATCATAGAGTCAGAATCGACCCGTAGCTGACCCTCTGGTGGGTTTTCAGAGGCAGTTAATCTCATGGGAGGAGACTGTCCATCCTTCTGTGGAGCAGCTGGTGGCCTCAAACCATGTGCCCTCAGGATTGCAGCGCAGCTTCTTGCTACTAGGCCAAAAGAGCTCCCTATTCTTGGCATTAGCAGTCAGGAAACAAAAAAAGAAAAACAAAAAATGCCAAAACTGCACTGGGTGTATCTGTGGTCAGGGATCTCTCCAGAGTCCTGAAGAGCAAGGATGTCAGTCTTGAGGTTAAGGTGCACCTGATCCAGGCCATGGTCTTTGCAATTACTTGCTATGCATCAGAGAGCTGGACAATGACTAAGAATGACAGCATAGTAATTGATGCCTTTGAGTTGCAGTGCTGGAGTACTGAACATACCATGGACTGCCAAGAGAACAACCAGATCTGTCTGGAGAAGGTGGAACCAAGTTGCTCCTTGAGGCAAGAATTTTGAAGCTCTGTCTCACATATTTAGGCATGTTGCCTGGAGGGCCCAGTCCTTGGAGAAGGACATCATGATTGGAAGAGTGGAGGGACAGTGCAGGAGAGGAAGACCCTTGATGAGATGGGGCAGGTGTGTCTGAGACAGTGTCTGGCTCAGGATAGGGCAGGATTATAAGCTTTTGTGCATAGGGTCACTATGAATTGTAGGTGACTCAATGGCACATAACAACAACATCATAGTGAATTAAACACATATACTGGTACCAGCTTCCACTGAATTGATTCCCACTTATATTAAATGCATGTATCACTGAGAAAGACTCTATACCCCACATAGATCACTGGGCCTTTCTTTTAAGTGCTTCTGGGTGTGTTTTAAACACATATACTGGTACCAGCTTCCACTGAATTGACTCCCATTTATATTAAATGCATGTATTACAGAGAAAAACTCTATACCCCACAAAGATCACTGGGCCTTTCTTTTAAGTGCTTCTGGGTGAGTTTGAAAAGCCAGTATTTCAGGGTAGCCAAAAGTTTGTGTTTTTACCACTTACAGATTTCATTAAACATTTATGAATCCGTATTAATTTTTCTACAGACTTTACAAATTTTTCAGGGTCTAGAATCTTGATGATAATGATGCAAAATTAGACTTTTAGACTAGCATCAAAGACATCTTTTAGACAGCTAAGATGCTCTAGTGACACAGTGTGTTAAGTACTGTGTTAAGTGAAATGTCAATATTTCAAACTCATCATCTACACTCACGAAGAAAAGATGGGGGTATATTCTCTCATAACATCTACAGCCCCAGAAATCCAACAGAGTTAAAATCAACTACACAAGAGTGAGTTACGTTTTGAATGAGAATGTAAAGATTGATTTTAGAAAGGCATTCTAGAGAAAAAATGGTTAACTTTATCTTTTTATCTGTTGTTGCTGTGAGCCATCAAGATAGAACCAACTCATGTTGACCCTCTAGCCAGTTTTCAGAGTGAGTAAATCATATGAGAGGAGAATGTTCATCTTTCTCCCAAGAAGCAGCTGGTGGATTATAACTGGATGCCTTTGGGACTGCAGTGCAGTTTCTTACCATTAGGCCACCTCATGGTAAGGAGTTGTGCTAGCAACCAAAATGTATGTGGTTCAAATCCACCAGGTACTCTCTGGGTGGATATCTTTGTCAGTGTGATGTATTTCCTCTGAACACTCACTTGCAGGTCAGCTATAGGTCAGTTCCGAGTCAACAGTACACTGCAACAACTAAAAGTTGTAAAGTGTTCCAGTGTCGTTTTACGCCTTCAAGTTGGAACTGACCCATACCTCCGGCATGTTTTCAGAGGCAGTTAATACCTTGGGGGGAAAGTGCCCATCCTTCTTCTGTGAAGCAGCTGGTGAATTCAAACCACATACTTTTGAGATTGCAGCACAGATTCTTGCCCCTAGGCCACTCATGCTCTCTGGTGGTGTCGTGGGTAGTTCTGCACTGCTAACCCAAAGGTGGTGTCTCTCTGGCAGTCTGAATCCGTGAGCGGATTGCATGAGAAAGATGTGCAATCTCCTTCCTTGTGATTCACATTCTCAGAAACTTAAAGGGTTAGCTCGGAGTCAGTTCTAACTAGATTGCAATGAGTTTGAGGGGTTTTTTTGATGGAATGTACTTTGGGAAACACTGCTTATAAAAAATATCTGTGAATGGTCTATTACTACAAGATCTAAAAGAACAAAACAAAGCAAGTTCCTAAAACTTAAGAGTTACTAAAAAAGGCATGCATAACTATCTAAGCATATATAACACAGTCAAAAGCACAGTGGAAGTGATAAACTTCCCTTAGATCTGATATCAACATTATTACCTTGTGAGGTTGAGTAGCAAATTTGCCACAATGTTGTTCATTGCATCAAAAGGCTTCTCATGCCGTTTTTTTAAAATGCCAGCACTTGAAGTGATTAGACTCCTTGGTTTCACAGTTTTACCCAATTTTCCAGAACTCACCATGACGTCAATTTTGCTAATGATGTCAAATAAAGACTTTTGAGGGGGAAATATTGCGAGAGAAGCTATTAATAATAGTGGATATATGGAATTCTATTAGAAGAAATTACAAGGAAATAAACAATTTAAACATATTTTTCCCTAAAATGGTAAAGCTAAACAATAAACAGTAAAGTCTGAACAGCAAAGCACATAAATGCCCACCACCACATAATCCAGGACTGAATATTTATAAGGGTGTCTACAAATTACAACGTCATTTCTTACCTGATTGTCAATGGGCAACACACAGTCTGCATGCTCATTAAGTTCCTTCATTGCCAAGATGCTGTTATAAGGTGAGGTTATGACATCATCCTCACTGGAAGGGTAAACTGAAGTCACAAATCTGTATACTTCTGGGAACTCATCTTCAAGCATCTTTAAAAGAAATGTGCCAAGTCCAGATCCTGTTCCTAAAGATAAAAATTTGAGGAAGAAAATAGCATAAACATTTCAGAACACAATTATGAGAAAACTGTTTAGAAATTTAAATATTGTATTTACCGAAGTAAGTTATAAATTATCAATTCATTCCTGTGATTGTGTTATTACTAATTAACCTAATTTCAGATAAGAACATGAAGATGACATGGATATCAAACCAAATGTGTTGCTTCTGAGTTGATTCCAACTCCTAGCAACCCTGTGGGACAGAGAAGAATTTCCCGACAGGGTTCCTAGGGTGGTAAATCATTATAGAGACAGATTGTCCCATCCTTCTCTCACAGAGAATCTAGTAGGGACTAACCAAGTGAGCCAAAGGCTTTTTGGTTAGCTCAAGGGTGGTTTGACTGTTGTATAATCAGGGCTCCTTACTATGGGTACTCAAGCTTCAGACTATGAGGTTTGGTGAATTTTCTGTATTTCATTCTTTCTTGTTTTTAAGTTATATACATACATATGTGTGTATATTTGTATATACAAACAACGGTAACAAAATAAATGATTGATGAAAATTCAATCAAGACTGTTTTTAGTCTTCACTTGACATTAAGCAATTTTAAAATAAAAACTGTTCAATGAATAAAAAGCTGTTATATACATTATGTTAACTCTAGTTTTATTTCTTACAAGTGTAGGTCTGAAAACATTCATGTTTACAAGATGAATTCCTACTTGGTAACAGCTAATAAGCCAAGTAACACTACCTCCTCCCATGGAATGTATTATGAAGAAGCACTGCAAACAATCGCATTGCTCTGCTGCTTTTCTGAGTTTCTCCAAAATTTGTTCCCGGTAAAGACTGCCAAAGACTCCGTGACCCACTGCCCTGAAAAGAAAACATTGGAAAAAAGAATTCTTCTAATTATTATTTGGTGACTTTATAATTTCTAAGCTATATAATAAGGCTAAATAAAAATGTAAAAAATTATTCCTGTATACTCTATAGTTTGATATCCGTAAGTCATGTAGTATCTCATTAATACTTAATAGAAGAATTTAATGAGCATTTTTCTACCCCTCCAATGCCCAAATATTTTGGCAATACAGCTCATTAGAAGTGAATACTAATCTAGAGTTTTCTTATTTTATCTTCTCTATCTCTCCTTTTCAATATAATTCTACATAAAATATTTCAGTTGCATATAGATTTATCTCTTCCCCTTTTAAAATAAACCCTGAAGTGATTGTACAAATAAAAGAGCTGAATCTAGACAACTAGAAAGGTAATGAAAACTACAACATTTTAACTAGCATACCACAGCTGCTGGTATGTACTGTTGACTTGGAACCAACTTACATCTGACTCTTCGCTGGGTTTTCGAGACATAAATAGCACAGGAGGACACTGCTCATCTTTCCCTCTCAGAAATTATAATTCAACTTGAAATATGAGAAAAACATTGATCACATAATTTCTAGATAAAATGGTGCACAGCAGGTAATGTAATATTCATGAGAATTAGTTTTACAAGTCTTGGTTGCTCAAATTTGCAAGTACTAATTAAATTTAAAAATAATTTTAATTTAAAAATTATTTCAAGAACAAATTTGAGGCACTGACCACAAAGGATTAAAGATGAATTGTGGGATAACTTTAAAGATATCATTCATAAAAGGAGCAAAAGGCCATTACAAAAAGCAGACCAAAATAAATGTCAGAAGAGACTGAAAACTGCATTACAGCATTGTGAAACCAAAGTAAAAGAGGTAAGGAGAAGAATTCAAAGGGCAGCTCGAGAAGACAAAACAAAGTATTATAATGAGATGTGCAAAGAGTTAAAGTTGGGAGAATAAAAAGGAAGAATTCATTTGGCATTTCTCAAACTGAAAGAACTAAAAAAATAAATTTAAGCCTCAAGCTGCAATACTGAGAGATGTTTGGGGGGAAAAAATCTTGGAATGACCCACAAAGCATAAAAAGAAGGTGGAGGGAATACACGGAGCTCTGTACAAAAAAGAATTGACTGACACTCAAATATTTCAGTACATAGTATGTGATATAAAGTTAATGGTAATGAAGGAAAAAGTTCAAGCTCTATTGAAGGCACTGGCACAATAGGTTCCAGGAATCGACGGGATACCAATGTTTGAACTAACAGGTACAGTCCTGTACATGTTCACCAGTCTGTGCCAGGAAATTTGAGACAACTGGCCAATTGACTGAAAGAGATTCATATTTACTCCTATTCCTAAGAAAGTTGATCCAACAGAATGTGGAAATTATCAAATAATGTCATTAATCTCTCTTGTAAGTAAAGGATTGTTGATGATCATTCAAAAGCAGCTGGAATAGATCTGTGATAGAATTTCAAGCTGGGTGTAGAAGAGTTTGTGGCACCAGAGGTATTACTGCTGATGTCAGATGGACTTTGGCTGAAAGCAAAGAATAACGGAAGGATGTCTACTTATGTTTTATTGACTGTATAGAGGCATTTGACTGGGTGGATCATAACAAACTATGGTTAAACTTGAGAAGAATGAGCAATCCCAAACACTTAATTGTGCATATACGAAATCAGTATCTAGAACAAGCAGCTGTTGTCTGAACAGTGCAAGGGAACACTGTGGTTTCCTCTTTCCACACCAATTCAGTATGTATGCTGAGCAAATCATCCAAGCAGCCAGACTTTATGAAGAAGAGCATTGTATCAGATTGGTGGAAGGCTTACCAACAATCTGTACTATGCAGATGACATGACCTTGTTTGTCAAAGTGAGAAGATCCTGAAGTGCTTACAGCAGAGGATTAATATCAACCTTCAATATGGATTGCAGCTCAGTATCAAGAAAACAAAAATTCTTACCACTGGACCAATTGGCAACATCATCATAGAAGGAGAAATGATTGAAATTGTCAAATATTTCATCTTGCTAGAATTCACAGTCATACCCAAGATAGCAGTAGTCAGGAGATGTATATCACTGCACAAGTCTGCTCTCAGGGATCTCTCTAAAGTTCTGAAGAGCAATGCTGTCTAAAGACTAAGGTATGCCTGGTCCAAGCCACAATCTTTGCAATCACCTGTTATGCACATGAAAGTTGGGACAATGAATAAAATTTACAGAAGAACCAATGCATCAGAGTTGTGGTGTTGACGAAGAGTACATCACATGTACTTCCAAAACAACAGATACGTATTGGAGAAAATGCAACCAGAATGTTCCTTGGAGGCAAAGTTGGAAAAGCTTCATCTCACACATTTTGGGCATGCTGTTAAGAGATACAGGGGTCAATGAAGTACAGGAAGACTCTCAATGAGATAGACTGGTACATTGTCTGGAGCAATGGACTCAAATATGTCAAGGATGATTAGGATGGCACAGGATAGGACAGAGTTCAGATCTATTATTGATGAGCTTGTTGTGGGTCATAAAACAACTCCGTGCTACAAGACTGATTTTTTTCCAATGTATTCAGTAACTAAAAAATCACATAGTAACAGTTTAGCTTAACTTGTAAATGTCTACCTTGAGCACTGTACTCTTTTTAAAAATTATCTGAGTAGTTGACAAAAGAACTTGAAAGACAGGAAGTGAGCTTAAGTTAATGGAGGAGAAACAACACAGAAAAGGAGAATGAGACTGGGTGTATAGTCTGAAGGATATAATCATGTAGTCAACACACATGAATTGCACAAGGAGAAAATATTGAATTGATGTATGTTCTGCTGTGCACATTATTAATAAAACAGTGAATTTTTTTAAAAAACCAAAGTTACATAGTAAATTATACAGTTCAAGAAAATCCAAGTTTTAGGTGATCAGCTGTGCTCACTCAGAACTACATACCATACAGCTGAGAAAGTGGCTATAAGTAGTTAAAATAATGAATATTTGTTGTTATATGCCATCGAGGGCTTGGTGACAGGAATGAAGCTGGAGATAGAATGACTGAATTTTGTAAAATCAATGACTTATTCATTGCAAATACATTTTATAAGAGACACAAACGCAGGTTATACACATGGACTTCACCTGATG